TTCTCCTGTAGGAGATGACGGCAGTGCACTGTTTGGGGCATCTATCACCGTCCCTCCAACTTGTGCAACAATATGTTCCAGTACTTCGTCGCTTAACGTTAGTTCCTTTACCAATTCCTCGCTCGTCTTAGGATGTGATATTGCTTCACTTCCCGCAGTCTGTGTCCGCTCCGAAGACAGAGAATTTGGACTAACTATCTCCATTCCCTCCTTCAAGGGTTCCGCCAGTGCTTCTGCTGGAACTTCGATCAATACCCCCGAAGATCATTCCCCCTCTACAGGCTGTGTTGACTCGCCCACTACAACTTCGGGTCTACTCACAATCGGGGCAACTGTCTTTTCTACGCTGCTATCAGATACTTCTGCTGCCATTAACTCCCGATTCGCCCTCTTCTTTGGTCTTGCACGAGTTCTTGATTGCCTAATCACATCCACTTCCGTTTCCGTTCTTCTTACTTCAAGTGCCAAATCTCCATCGTCATCGCTCACTACTCTCCTTCTCTTCGCCACTCGTCTCTCCGGCTTTTCCCGTCTCCGCACAACCTCCACCTGAACTGGTCATCGGGCTGTCGTCTGTGCTGGAATGGAGGGTCGACGGGTATTGTCCTCGGTCCCTTCGCTGGACTCGGCCGTCAAGATTTTCCGCTCCTTTGAAAATTGCTTCTACTCCTCTCTTGTAAGCAACCCCATGCCTCGGTAGAAAATCACCAAGAAGGAAATGAGATGATTGACCAATGGTCATGTTCACTGATCGGACGCGTTCACCTAGACAAGATCGTGAAAGATCCTTGCCCAGTGTACTCCTTGTCCCTTCAAGATTTGTTCAAAAAACCCTACTTGCCAGGCCGTCACATACGTCGTACGCGCTGGTCGCAAAATGTGCATAATTCCCAACGATATCGCCCTTCTCTTCAGATCTACGTAATCCGCTGTCTTCCACCCCTTCGGTCCCTGCCTCCCGGAATTGAAAGTGGTCAGTAAGAGAATTCTTCGGTGCGCGTAAGTCCCACGCTACTCTTCTCAAACAAAATTCTCCGTCGCTACCTACGCACGGTCTCATCACCTTCGTCCAATGTCCACAGCATGGGATCACCTCGAAGCTCCACGCTCTCGATCTGGTTATTATCCATTATCTCCTTACATATACTCGCCGAGATGCAATTCCAATTCCAAAAGAGTAATTCAAGTCACAACTCGCTCAGCTCGCGTCTGAAGGGTCACAATTCTTCGTAGGGCACCTTCATGGGAACCAATTTTTGCACCTTGTCACTCTTCATGACTTCAATTCGCGTCTTCGCTACTAGCAAGGTTGGTCGATTTTGTTCTTTCTCTCGCTCGCTCGTTCTTGCTCGATATTGCGATGTCGGCGCGAGGACTCCTCGTACTGCTCTTACCCTTGAAGCCCTAACATTGCCTCCTCACGCGCCCACTAAAATTCCCGACACGTGCGAACGTCTCCCGGCCCGTTGCGCGATTCAAAATTGAATCCCATGTCTTCGCCGAAGACGCAGCTCTTGCAATGCCCAAAAAGACGGCGCTGAAGATCCGAAGATCTTTGAACATAGACGAATTCTAACTAATTCTATCATATCTCCTCATAAGCTGCTCATTCTAACTCGTACAACTACTTTCTAGACAAATATCTTCTAATTTTTTTGATTTTTAAAGCCAAACAAAAAAACTAGGCACCACAGTACTATTGGAGTGATTCAAGGCTGTACTCTTCCTCCTATTTTCTTTGGAGTTCTTATAGAAGATATCAAGAGTGGTTGGAGGCATGTGATAGTGAAGGTGTCAAGCTTGGAAACTTTGTTATCAAAGCTCTTTTGTATGCAGAAGATATCATATTACTAGCACGTGATGCAATTAGTTTACAGAAACACCTATACACTTTGGCTAGCTTTTGTACCTAGAATCAGATGGAGGTAAATACGAAGAAGTCTAAAGTCATGATAGTGGGCACTAGATCCAAGTTCTCCTCTATTACAAGGATCTACAATTAGAAGAGGTGAAGAGTTATAAATATCTAAGCATTGATTTTTCTAATAATTATAGTTGGACACTTTGCGTGCAAAAGAGAGTTGAAGGTGGTTACAAAGCTCTATATTCATTGCTAAATCGGTGTAGAAGGTTTCATCTTGTGTCTTGGAGTCTTAGGAAATTTTTATTTAGAAGCTTAGTGTTGCTGGTAGTATAGATTCCAAGTGTGGGGTTTTGGTTGTAAGAAGACAAGATGGAGCGTGTGGAGAGGGTGCAGAAGATATTTCTACAAGAAGAATTGGGTGTGAGAAATCAAACTTCATATGCTATTCTTCTTGCTGAAACAGGTTATTTACCTCTAGAGGCTGAAGCTCTATACTTGACCATCACTTACATCAGAAGGGTGAGATCTCTTGATGCTTCTCTCCTTCCTCCTGAAGCTTTGAGTGCCACACGTGCCAAAGTATGATTAGCGTATGAGATAACTTGATCTTTGAGGTGGAATGTGACGGAACGTGATTGGGACTTGCAACCTATAGCACTACGTGAACATTTTAAGGAGGAGTTTCTGAACATTATTTGGAGCAAGCGTGACACCAAGATGCAGTTTTATCAACTTCATGTGAATCCTATGTTTGTTTATTGTGAACAAGATTACTACTTGCAGGAATCTCTACGTCCTTACGTCATATTATTGCTAGGTTATAGAACAAGATCTCTTAGGCTTGGAATTGAGGAAGGACGTTAGATTAATATTGATAGTAGTGAAGGTATTTGTAGGCTATGTGATGGAAGAGAAGTTGAGGATGAAGAGCATGTATTTTTTACCTGTACTAGATATGTAGAGATTAGAGTGGCTCATAATATATATGTAAAGAATTTCTATTCATTGTTAAAGTTAGTTCTTTTTTATTTAGGTTTTTATATTAGGTACATTATTAGTTACCGTTCTAGTGCTCTTGGCACTAGCTAGGGTTTGGTCTTTGGGGTCTTTTCCCTTGTTTGTGGTTGTTGCTTGTATTGTATTTTTCAACCTTTTAACACTTTGGGTACCCCGGGCTTGATCTATTACCATTTACCATTCTTGACGACTTGTCTTAGAATTCAAATACCGAATTGTTTTTAGTAAACGTAACTTCAGATTGCCAAGGGAGACAAGGTTGGGTAACATTTTGTGGATCATATCGAAACATTCTTATGCGCCTTTAGCAAATTGTAGATTATTATCATTCTTGGTGATTTGTCTTCGAATTCAAATATCAAATTGTTTTTAGTAAACGGAACTTTAGATTTCCAAGAGAAAGAAAGTTATAATTTGTGTAAAGTGAGCAAGCAGAGTTGTGATCTCCAAATTAAATCAGAGTTATAAATTGTGAAAAATGAATAAGCAAAACAAAAAGTGTAGAATGATTTGTGTCTTTTTTCACTTGTAAAATAGTTGAAACAACAAATTTAACTTAACGTCAGAAATCATGATGGTTTGGATTGGTATGGTGAGATTATGCAAACAATTAAAATCTACTAAATTGAGATTATAGCATCACCATTTTTATTTTTTCTAGTGTTTCTCATGTGATGGAGCGTAGCGCAAGGAAGACCTGGGGCAACAAGGGTGAGTGAAGGAAGAGTAGTGATGTGGTTACTCGCATTTTTCATGTGGGGGAGGTTATTGCAAGGAAGACATGGGGCAACGAGGGTGAGTGAAGGAAGGGTACGTTCCATCTATGCTGGCGACGATTAGGAGACGAAGTCAAAGGTTGGGGCAACGAGGGACAGTCAAGGAATGGTAGGTTCCATCTATATTAGCGGCGATTCGCGGCGAATAGGAGACGAAGTCAAATGTTGCAAGTTAGACAGGAGTTACAGCAATAAAGAATCACATGCAAATTTATTTTGAAAATTACAGTTGAACTGTCACTAATAGATAGAATCACGTCACTAGAAACCTAATGGTTCTTGAACTCTATGTCACTAATAAGAGTTCACACTATTGGTAAGTTTAACTGTGCTATATTCGAATGTTACAAAATTTTGCGAGATGCCAGTTGTGAAATTGGTGTTGCAGTCAAAACCCTCTTGACCAATTTTTCCTAAATTTGTTATGAAACCCCGTATGGGTGTCTGAGTTTTGCGTTAGATTTGAAGGGGCGAAGACCAAGATTCATTTATCATAATCACATACGTACCCGTGTCAATACTTTCTAGCTTTGGCACAATGTGAAATAGACGAGAAGCTAATCAGAAAGCTGAAGCCTAAGAACCGAGGCACATTGAGAATAGGAACCGTAGGAGTGGATCAACTCTTCGAGGCAGGTTAGTCTTCCCAATGAACCCCCAAAAATTGCTCCATAACTATGTAAAACCGGTTGTAAAAAGCCTGAGGTGATTCACACGTATTATGAGACGTAAAAACAATCAATAAAGTGACCATTGATTTTACGTGTGATCATACTAAACTGTCCAGATGTTATGCAGTCGGCACTCTACTAAGACGAATCAGTGTGACTACGCAATGAGAAAAACAATCCTTAAAAGCAAAAACAGTCTCATGCGTACCCAGCCCGTTAACATACCAATCCTAAGCAAGTCCAGGATTGCACCGGACAGTACCAAAGGGAAACTGCGTTCTTTGACAAACTAACATGCTAATTAAGAAGCGAAAGCCCAAATGTGAACCTTTAAGGACATGCATATCCAAACCATCAGGTATGGCTGACAGGAATCATAATAAATCACAAAGAAAGCCAGAAGTACGGAAATGAGATAGAGAAGTCATGCTGAGATGATCTAACGAAGATGTTTAATTCGCTCGTCATGTTAAGCCTCGATTACAATTAGCAAACCATGCTGGAAAAAGTTCCTCTTCATACTTCATATACGTGAAGCAGATTAGAGCATTTACCCCCTCTTTCTCGTGTAATTCGATGAATGACATCGATAAGAAAGGTCCTCCTGACTTCAAGGAAGTCAACGGAAGGCAGCAATGAGCTAAGATTTCTACACATGGCGAAAATCCCATCAGGTCGAGAAAACTATGATAAACACATCAAACTGATTACAGATTTGCATGAGTGGCAACAATAAATGCAGGCGCCCTCTAGACGGATATATAAATGTCGGTAGATCTCCAAATGTACAAAATAGATGTGCCTGTCCCGCCACAGGGAAAAAGACACCATGACATGGTACCTGATAAACTAGATTACAAGTTTTGACTGCTGGACAACGAAGGAACTTCTCGAACCATGATATCTGACTACAGACACAGAGCTATAGAAATTCTGACAGTAACAAAGCAAACCACTACACGGCACCCTACCGTTTTCACTGATGTATGCCCCATTTGGGTTGTTGAACAATCACGAATCGCACTCTAGGATGTGCATTCAGAATAAGGCCTTTTTTTCTAGAAACATGATGTAATAACAGTTTTCTCAACTGAGTGAGAACCATCTTGCGTCTGATAACTTGGCGTCATTTCCAATCCTGCAATCCGAACATTGACGCACAAAAACAATTAATGACTCTCAAAGTCACGGCAAGCAACCCTTCTCGAATTTAGGTGATTGGTAGCGTATAAGATCCTCCAAGTCCTCTCGTTTCAAAATCAAAATCTCAAGATGATTAACGTCTCCTCAAAGGAGAGTAAAAAAATTTCACCCGATTTGGGAACCGAAAGATTCTTTAATCTGAACATTTCGAGATATAGAACTTGCCAACGAACCAGAATTATCATGGAGTGTTCAGTCCAAATTGCAAGGAACTGACCATGTTTTGAGAAACCAATGAAGAGTACAAATGAAGTAGCAATTACACAATCAGTTGAATCTTCTTTTATCTCATTTTCAAAGAATTATTTTGCTTGTCATATGATTTACCGGCTTCCTTCCAGATACGCTGTCGCATTATCATGTGAAGTAGAAGTTTCACTAAGAGTTTTCTATCAGTCTTCATGAGCCAAGAACAAATCAGAAAATTGGAGGGAACAGGACAGCGCATACGCTCAGCAGAATCATATACGATACAATATACTCTCAATCCAAGAGAAGGAAGTGCATCAACCTAGCAGTTGTAATACAAATGGCTTCTCAATCAATGTGATAACCTGGACTTGACTACTTAGGAAGGAGGATTGCAAGACATAACAGCATGACAAGGCCGTAATTATATTCGATATTTTAGCAAGCTCGTGCTATGTGCCAACTTTATCTGAAGCTATTATGTAGAATTTGATCTCCTTTAAATAGTTCTCAGCAGAGACCTTTTACTTTGTGAAAACTTGTGTCATGCAGTTTAACCAGTCATCCACTGTAAAGACTTTAGCCCAACACAAATCATATTTTAACTTGAGGAAAGGCTTTAATTACCGATACAGCTTAGATATCAAGAAGGACGGGAAGACCCCATTATACACGTATGGAACCAAATTGGTAACACAACCGGATCACAACCGGATTTAACAGTTCTTGCATCCAGATATACTCAACGTTTGAACCAAAATCTCCTAAATTCAGTGATAAATACTGAACTTTAGATTTAACTTTCCTTTTATTTATGGATTTATCGGCTAATGACTCACAAAGATCATCTCCTATATAGAATGTCAAAGTCGACATAAAAACTGTGGCTAGCAATTTTACAAGTATCAGGAAAAGGGAATGAACCTGACGGAGGGGAGCTGTTCAATAATTCGGTAGCTGGGTTCTTTTGATTTGTTCAGCTAACGTTACCTTTGATTGATAGAACTACGTGACCATTACTTTTTGGCAGCAGGCTTTTTCTTCTTGTCAGGAACTGCTGGTTTAACCGGAGCTTCCTGTTCGTTCGCATTGATAGGAATATCTTATTAGGACAGTTCACGTTTCTTCATGATAGCATTCTTGTTTTTATCTGGTAACATTTTTGTTCATAGAAAAGAAGCACATGTACTTAGGTTTTCTGGATTATAATTAGTGCTTTATATCTTAAGTTGGCAGCTACATTTGAAAACGTTCGTTATAGCGAATTGATTAGTCCAATGTCGTCATGCCACTCACAAAGGTTGGATATGTTTACACACCTTGGTGCATACATAAACGTAGTGCAAGTCTGGATCTTCCAGACCAAATTGTGGACCTAAAGTGCCATCGTCATTCAGAAGCAGGGGGTCCGTAATGACTCTAGAAGAACTCTCTGCCGCCCTTTTCGAACCCGGTCTTGCTGCGACAACAAATTGGAAAAAATCAGTGCGAGGATACCCATCTCTTCATGACTTTAACAAAAGAACCTCAAATTCTGAATATAGAGAATCAGGATAAATAGATACTTAATGAAAAGATACTTATTCAGGGGTAGAGCCTTAATTCTAAAAACTGACATTGGGGAGGTCTGAAACGTACGTATAACGTGGAGGGCAATGGACCAGTTCATTTCTGGCCCCTTCAAGTGCGACATTCGAACTCGAGGATCACCGTACGTGATCTGTTTATGATCGTATGAACTAAATAGTTAGAAAACACGAAATGCAAATTGCTAACGCACGAAAACCCAATCCTGCTCTTCATGAGGAACTTAAAGGTTCGCAAGATCATACCAGCATGTATACACCTCCTGGCTTCAAAACCCTGTGAATGGCAACTAGATCATATTAGAGACTTTTCAGACTTCACTGCAGCCAATCTTCCAGATTGATTGTTTTGTAAGAAAGGAAGTCTAATATAGCTGCTATTTTACGTCTAACTTGTCCACGCTAACTCTATGAGCGCTGCCAATTAATCAAGACTGGATGGGTCCAGAACGCAAATTTATCAGCTAGTGATAAGAGATCAGTTACAGGGAGACATCTGCAGCTTAAGCTGAAAGAAAAGGTCTTTGGTTGCAGGCAGAAACCTTCGAACCTCCTCCAGCATTCGTGCAGCACTGTAGGGGGCGCTTGCTCCGCACTGCCAAAAGAAATTCAAACTAGGATCAGCTGCAAAAATATGATTGAAAACTCTGGTGAGATGATCAATTCTGCAACTGTAAGAGAGACTGTTGTCACATCAAAGGCTTATACAACTACCGTAACCTTACAGCGGCAAGTGACTGTAATTTCGCAGTGGTCACCAAGACCAATCGTTTGAGTTATTATTGACTGCCGTTCATTGATGGAGTCACTGTTGAAACTATACACGTGACAAAATGTGACGATCTGTTGATTTGAATTCTTACCATGAGTGAATCAAACATGCCTGCAAGAAGCCAATGAAAACACAGATAAGTTGGAAAGGAAACAGAGAATCAGGTAATAATTCATACACGACACACAAAGAAGATAAGTGTAGATGCCGTACGTCAAGTCCGCCATGTACATGATATCTCATAACGGGGCGCAAATTGGAAAGCACGACATCTTCTTGAGACTTCCAAACAAAGGTAATGAGGTTACATGATCTAAATCACACAACATCGGGGATAACTACCTAATCTAAGAAGATTTACCTTTGTCAACAATAGAATCGAACGTCGCGTCTTTGAAAAACTTCATCTCCCGAACATCCAGCCGCAAGTCTAGAGAACGCATATTAAGAAAATAATACATCTACGTCTGTCTTGCCAAGTACGACGTCGAACAAAGCTCCTCCTCGCAGACTCACGATAAGATAAGACACTAACACCAACTTCTGTGTCAACCAATACGTGGACGCGCAAGTAATACTCAAAATTTTGCGATTGACCAGTACCGGAATCACTGTGCATGAAATATGACAACATCAGACTAGATATCAGACAGCCTTATTGGTAGTAGTAGGATACATTGTAGTTGAGGAACATCTTTATACTTCTTCACCATCGCATCGATGACCACCTGTGAGATGTCGACGTTAACAATTTCTTGGTAGCCATCATTAACCATGTCCTCCGATATGACTGTATCACACATCAAGAAGGAGAAAATTAATACTAATTCTGTTTGTTTGAGATTCAGATGATCGATCAGACTGACCAGATATAATTGCCCTATTGAACACGGTGATGTCATCGTGAGTTCAAAGGTGACTTCGGAGGCGTTCTAGGCCTGCCATCGTTGTGCGTCTTCACAAGTGATGCAATCTTAAAACTACTACGGGTTGATAAAAGAGTCTGGTCATACTAGACATTTGCAGTCAAAATCTCGCAAAAACTAATATGAAGTAAATGGAATACTATTATCCGACTGCTAATCTATAACTAGTGTGGAGCAAATCAAATGTCGACATGCGTGCGAGGAGGAATCTAATCATGTGCGGCGGTCACATTCTTCGTGATGAACTTGGGATACTTGTAAGATGTGAATTTTCCTCTCGTTAATCATTAAACCTCGACCAATATGATCACAATCTCGTCTGCTTGAAGACATGTCCACCCATCACCCCTAAATTGAATGATATAAATAAAACGGCACGACATTACTATCAGGAAATCGTTCCAGTAGCAGACCAGGTGACAGAGGGCTCGACGGTATACATGAAAAAACTCGATTCAGAGTGTCATTATGACGGTCTCAACCTGAATGTAGAAATTTAGAAGCGAATTTCATTCTGTCTGAACCTTGATATGAGTTGAATCGCTTCGCAATTCAGAGTATATCTTTTATCCCGTCCAATTTGATCTGACCTAAGTGACGGCATGATCATGTAGTGGGACGCATAGCGCGAACTCTGTCTTAACAGCATAAAACCTGCTGTTTACTAGTTGTCCACGATCTCATCGGGACCAGAATGTCTCAATGTACTGGATGCTTGACTGTATTGAGTCCCAGGATATGGCTGGACCTAGCGGACCTGGACCCAGACTAGAAAGCAAATTTGTTGACATCCGAAGATGGCAAAGACTGCTTACGACGTCTCACAATCAAACTACATAGAGTTGTGCATTATGCGGGTATATCAGATATGAGGTGAAGCCAACAGTGATTTTATTGGTTATAGTTTCAAAATTAACCAGGATAGCTGGAAAGTCCATGCTAGGCTGCCTCAAAATCTCTAAACCTATGATAATCACACTGTATATAGAGTTACAGGTGCACACCTGCATTACCGCAGCCAACCATCAATATTCGATGAGTCTTAGAAATATATTTGGTGATGATCGGACTTAATCCTGAGTAGCGTTGATACCAATCGAAAGATCCGGCATCTTGGCTGTAGCGATTGTCCCAATACGCCTCATCTCCATACGCCTGCGGATGATGACTCTTACCTTTCGTCATTTTACTGGGCTGCAATCAACCCTAAAGCCTGCTCATTTCCCGATCAATCTCATCACAAGTTTGTCCATTCAGACACCCTCGTCTCAAACGACAAATGCCCCGTGCTCTCGTCGATGCCGACTGCAATTGAGATGAAAATTCTCAGTTAGTACCCTCGACGACTCACGCAGGAGCAGGTGAAAAATAAAATGTGCTGCATGAGAGATAGACAGTGGTACAGGGAGCAGGAGCGAGATCTGTAGGGAAAGAGTCCGAGAGGCAGGAACAGCAGCCCATGCAAGACGGATAGGGAGTACAGGAATCGTACAGATGAATCGAAAGCCAAAAGCGAATCTGTCTGATAACCTCGCTCCTTGACTCAGGGCCGACAAATTTCGACAGAACAACGACCGAGAGAGATAGAGATAGATGGGGAGGGGAGGAGAAAGCCCACCGGCACAGAGGTCCGAGGGAGCGAGTGAGCGACAGTGACCAAGAAGGAAATGACGGGTCAACTCAGAGTCCTAGACCCTGTCGCCACTCACGTTCAAGACCGATCTTTCAGGCCTCCAACTCCTCGCGATGAGGTGCGACCTCCAAAACGGTTAGTGACAAGACAGCCACTGCAACAGCAGCGATCGTCGAAAGAACGCGAGCCTCCCGTCGCTCGAACGGTGGCAGCTAGCTGCAAGAGAGCTAATTGCCCCGGCCCAATGGCACCACTGCCTCCTCCTCCTCCTCCTCCTCTCTCCTCCTCCTCCGCCTGCTCTGCCAACCTCCTGATCATCTGCAACCATCCCCCTCCACCCTCCGTTCGCCCCTCGCCCTCGCCTCCGCCACTAGCTCCACCTCCACGGGCTCTTCTGCTCCAGCAGCAAGAAAAGGCCAGCGCCAAGACACACGACAGATTAGCATCGACAGCATCAACAGCAGCAGCAGCAGCCTCGTCCCGTCTCGGATCGTCGCCTGCGCATTCAAAAAGGGGCCGCAGGGCCAATGCGCTGCCGGGGGGTGGGGCAATTACACTCGCCTCTCGCTCTGCGCAGCCCCTGCTGCCGCTGCTGCTCCCCCACAACCGACGACGACGACGCTCTCCACCAGCCCAGGTGCCAGTTTTAGCCCCCTCAATAATTTATTATTTACACTTACCTCTCTGCCATCGAGGCGCCCTTTTACCTTTTCACCCTCGGCCCTGACCCCAGCACACAGACAGACAATGAGTGCGCCGGGTAAGCGGATCCGCGAGTTTACTAACTCATGGCACCTCGTCGTCGAGCCCCCACTGTCCCACTGGGCGCGGCAGATCTCGCTTTCGCACGTTGACTGGACCGGTGCCGGTTAGCGTACTAATCCCTCGGTAATCACGACCACTTACGTGCTGATGCACCGCTGCTCCCCGCTCCCCGGAACAGGCAGCCAACGGATCGTCGCTTACGCCCGCCGTCCGTCAGTCGGTACAAGGCGCCGGCTGTCAACGACGTACAGCACAGAGCGGACGGACTGGACTGGACTGGCCCCAGATGCTGCTGTCTCTGTCTCTCGGGCTGCCACCGTTCGGCCGACGACGACGACGTGATTGCTTAATGAGATGGCATTATTAAGGCATGATTAGGCTTATCGCCTCGGCTCACTGGCTCACTGGCTAACCGGAGTCCCAGGTACAACCCCGGCAGGACCGGTTCCGGAGGTGCCGACCCGTGCCATCATGGGGCTACGCGCCCCCCCCCCTCGTCAATGCCCGCGCGTGCCTTGGCTTCCACTTTCTCTAGCCCACTAGCTAGCCATGACACCATGTGCGTCGCGAGAACCCGTTTGTCGGGCCCCTGCTCCCTCCCGTCTGGTGGTATCGAGTAATATGCCGAAAAGGACGCAAGACTCAGACGAATCCCCCAACAGTATGGCCTCGGCCCTTAGCGTACTTCTGCAATGCCTCTACTATAGGAAATCTGGCATATTGCCCCCTGCCGTATCCAAAACATTTTAGTCGATTATGCTATAAAATTCGACATTTAAAAGCGATGAAATGTTTAGTTTGGTTTTTTCCAAATTGGATGTGTGTTGTGCTGATTCCAAAATCAGAGAATATGAAGAAAACATGAATGCAATATCCCAGAAATTCTCGTGTATATTTTGGTGTATTTTCAGTGATTGAAATGGACCGACGAGATTTTCGGTTCTGGATCTCTGGGCCGGTCAAACATTGCGTTTAGCGATTCTCAAGTTGTGGTGCCCCGACACGGCACGACAACCATCGTCAAGGAAGGAACATCTACGGACGGAAGTTGATGAATGCACTTCTTGCTGTGCTGGTGGATAGAGTCACATACACCATTTCGGTTTTGGTTCTATGTGTTCTTAATCTATTCTCAAATCTTATATTTGCAATTTGTAAATTGGGAAAAACTTGCCAGAATTGCGGGAAGGTTGTTTCCTCGAGAGAGTGGGTAATTCGCGGGCATCCCTGAGGACTCGGGGGGCTGCAAATGCGTAGGCATGTTCGACTCGTCTCCATGGACTCGAAGCACGGGATGATATCGGATGCAGGAGGGAGGGGCCACCATGCGAGCGGCAAATGTGGACTGCAGGATACTTCTGGGGGTCGCTCCTCATGCACAGCGCCAAGTGGTGAAGTACACCTTGCGAGCCCCTCCAGCCAAGACTGGCCTTGCCCTCTGGGCTTTCTACACGACGAGCTTCTGGTTTCTGGTGGGAGTCCTCTTGCCATGATTCCATTGGCCACCGCACCCTTCCACGGGGCACGGTTGCCATTGAGCTGCTGTCATACATGTTCTCGAACTTCATATTAGCAAAGAGATATTAAAGTCAGACACCTTCCTGAAGTCGAAATGGTCGTCTGACTGACTCTGTGGAAGAAAGCATCATCATGCGTTCCCGAGAAGACCCTTTGGAACGGCGAGGAATATTTGTTTGTGGAGAATTGCCACTTCTGTGAAGCTCGTTATCATTCCAATGCCTGAAAACATCAGTTTTCTCCAACAGAAGATCGAGTCAAGGTTTCTATCATTATCCCACGTCATGGTGTACATGAACACGAGTAGATGGTCGGAAGCTCTCTTTCTAGACAGACTATGAAATGGGCATCGGTCGGCTTAGGAATCCACTCTTCTGCCCATTGCAAATCATTTTGTGAATGGAAGCTGCAAGTGTAACATGGCTAGCCACGTGAGTTTCTATCCGCCCGTCGATACTGGTGATGACGAAGTTACTCTTTTCACGGGCAGCATATATATATATATATATATATATATATATATGCTGCCCGTAAAAAAAACGTAATCATCTCAACAGACAATCTAATTTTTATTTGAAATTTGGGCATTAAAAAATAAATTGATCATGTTTGGCATCAGATCAAATAAATGATTTACGGTATTAAGGTGAAATCTAATAAATTTGAGAAAATCAATAAAGTAAGAAATTAGGAAAGTATCTAGAATTTTTAGAAATTTAAATTGGAAATTGAAAAAATGCAATAAAAAGCTTGTATTTCATATCATCTTATCAAGCTTAGAAAAGAAAATTAAAAAAATTTAATTGAAAAATAATCATAATGATAATCAATTGATAGCAGAAATACATGTTCACTAGCTTATCTATGCAAAGAGATATGTTTGAGAAAATCAATAAAAAAAAAGGGCTTGCTAGAAAAAAAATTAATGATGAAATTAGATTTGAATGATATTTTTAATGAACTAGACTAGTTTAGTGAACCCTTCAAGTTTCAAAATAATTTTTTGATAAAATTTGTAATTTATATCGTATATAATTACATATGATTTCTACTCATCATTTGAATTATTTTGAATACATTACATTTTTTATTGCTGGATTTTAGGATGAGTATTAGTTTTGTGTTTGATTAAGTCTATTTGTGAAAATTTTCAAATTATTTTATGAGTACTACATATGTAAAAATTTATGCATATAGACTTCAGATGCTAAAACAACTTAATATTGAAAAGGTAAAAACTAATAATTATCTGTATTAGTTCAAAATTTTACTATTTTTCAATTTTTTTGAATAATTTTAAAAATATTACCATTAGCAAAGTTGTAAGTATATTTACATATATATAATTTTTACAAATCTTATTTTGAAAATAAAAAAATCATTGAATAAACCGTTTGATTGTGTATTAATGTTATATCAAATTACTGTATAAGTATTCTAGAAATGCAACATATGTTTGATAACTTTTCAAAATTAACCCTTCATGAATGTATTAGCATAAGCATGAGGAAATAATGGACTATTGAAATTTAGATGAAGCAAATAATCAAATGGCTGAGAGGTCGTGAAATGAAGAATTTAGGTTAATCATAAAATTTTTATGATCAATCGTACTGATGTTACATATCCATTACAGAAAAAATGTGGTGGTGAGTAAATGTTTAAACACTAATGTGTTAACCTTAGTGTGTGGTAGACAGTTCAGATTTGATCTTTTATATATGAGTCAAATGTTATTCGAATTAATGTCTTTGATTATTGATATTATTTAGTTATCTTGGTTACACAACTTTCAAGCCTGGATTATCTTCTGTTATAATTAATACAGATAACCAAGAGTTGAAAGTGATTTGAACCATATGATAAATATAATATTCTGGGTTGATGTCTAAATTTTGAAATATTGTTTCATAAAATCAGTTTGAAAAAGTTACTAACTGTAGATGTGACTGTCGTCAAAGGTTAGCTAATGAAAGAATCTGGATTATAAATATCCAAATGAAGTTTACTTGATTACGATATTATTTTTTTATACTATGATTATGACCAAATTTTGCAGATTATTACATTTAAAATCCTAATTTGAATCAAACAAATGTTACACTAATGTCATATGCTTTGATTCGAAACAGGAACTGTTATCCAAATCTTTGAGCAACACCAAGCTTTGATTAAGAGGATATAGCATAGGATATAGGACCACATTTAGCAATCTATTAAATCTTCAGTCTCTGATAGGTATACATATCCAAAACTGAAACATGTAGTGAGTCAGATCAACCTAGATGAATTCACTATTCTATCATTGACTCTGTCAACGATGATTTTGTCCTTGTTGGGCTGGATTGGGTATTCCCTTGATATTGATAATCCGTGTAATTACACAACTACTATTTCATTACTCTTGATTCTTTAATAAATTTTTCACATATCACATTTTTTAATCACAAGTGTGTAACAAGGAAACGTGAACCATTATTTGGATTACGGTTTCTTGCTCAAGAATTTCTGTGATGTAGTCCACTGCATTATAGTCTGACTCACATACGGGGAATGCTATAATATCATGGAGTGTCCCACGCGGTAGCAGGTGAGAACAGAGTGTAGCTCCAAATGGGACCGAGGCAATAAATTGGACTGAGAAAACATTCACAAAAATACAAGAGAAGTTTTATCCGTATGCAGGATTTGGAACCACCTATTTACCTTCTCAACAATATAACGGTGTGGCCCAAGACCCTTTATGAACTTTGAATAAAAAACACCAGCTAGCTGTATATTGACTTCCTGTCTCCTACATTAGTTGTGCAAAACCGTAGAGCATCACGAACAACGGGCGAAAGGGAAATTAGTAACCACGAATGGGAGCCCCCTAAACATGGGAAAGGATGATGAAGATTACAAATACAGTTCAGAGAAGCGAAGTAACGCACGATCAAGTCAAAGACGACATCGAACGGAATTTCATAATCATTGCTCGAGTACATAATGGTCAAAGCCACTTGATTACTCTCCAGGAA